CGCAGCATATACTGCTGCTTGACGGCAACGTCGGTTGCATAGCTATGATTGCCTGTCAGGATAGGAGCTATGCACGTCTGGCATACCCAAGACATCTGGTGAGCTGCTATAACAGGCAAGATGGTCAACCACACACCTCCAACCCACAAATGAATCGAACAGGCAATCACTGTTTCCAGCTGCCCATAACTCGGCTGCCTAACCTTTCTACTTCCCGCTGAATGACTGCCGTAACCGCGCTTCTGACCCTCGCAACTTCCCGCGCCATGTCGGGGTTCCCGGGATGCTGTACCCCCGCCAGGACATCGATCGCATGCGACACAGGCGCGCCTAACCATCCATGCTCAGCTACGATACCGCTGTGCTCTTCCTCCTGCGGCCGTAAGGGGTCGTTAAGGCCACCATTCGAGCTGTGGGGCGCCTCAGGCAAACGCTTCTCGCGCACGAGCGTGTCCAAGGCCTCCTGGATGTCCTTCGCTGGAACAGGTTCGCCAAAGGTAATGCTCAGTGCTGCACCGGGTTTCGGGAAGAATTTGTATGGTGCCGTCCGGCCCTCCGGCATCAACTTGTCGAAGCCTAGAGGTGCACGTCAGTGTGAAGGGATTTTGGCACGGGTGTCTTGAACGGACCAGTCAGCCACATAGGAATTATCACGGGAGGCTTTTGCGCTTCCATCATGATTCTCCCGCTTCAAAAATGCGTTAGCGAGAGAGATCCCGGGGAGTGTGGTATCACGTACATGCCCCACTTGAACCTCAGGAGGCGGCCGGCGTTTGGACTGCTGGGATTGCTTGAATCCTGGTTAACCCTGCCCTCTCCGAACAGATGAATCTGCCCAAAATCTACGTCAGTACAGCACTGCAAAAATGCCCTTGATGACGGGACAAACCCAATCGCCTTGGTTGAGCTTTTGAATGGCGTTGTCAATGGCGGGCTGGAAGATGCCTTTTCCACGGAAGGTCTCTATCACTTGGCCATAGCGGAAGAAAGTGGAGAAAACACTATCTGGGAGGCAAAACAAGGCCGCCTCGCAGTCAGTATGGAGCTCCATAAGTATCATGTTCGGCATATTATGCACGTACGGGTTGGTAAACATGATGTCCGAGGCACCAAGCGTCCACCTAGTTTTCCAGGAATCCCTGTAGAAGCGAGCAGGGAGAACGCCCCAAAGGACAGGATCGTCTAGTCTGCTCGACATGAGCTGGGTGCTTAGGATGGGTATATGCGTTTTACAGACGTCGAGATATGGTTGCACACTGCGGATACACTACTTAGACGGGTTATATGCGAAGGTATCGGGAGTACTCACTAGTTACGATTCCACGCCCATGGTTTCGCTCGTCGCTCTCGAGCGCAATCAACAAGTTTTCCAAGCCATTTACGGTGACGGAGGAGCAGAAGCCTGCATTCAAGAGCGCCTTGCTACCGAGCCCCACGATGCTAACGGTCAGTTTGGAGAGCAGGCCGTTCATGGACCGAGTGTTCCGCCGACTTCGTTTCCAACACACAGGGAAGGATGGTGTACGAGCTGATAGAGATAGCCAGGAGTTTCAAGGGGCGGGATGGAGTTGTCAATATGTAGAGGATGCGAACAAAGCTCAGGAACTTGGAGAGCGCGCGCCGTCGCGCCGCGCGGTGTCGGCGTCGGACGCTGCTCCGGCGTTGAGGCGCCCGACGCTTTCTCCTCCTTCCACCACCACCCTCTGACGTTTTGCCCCCCGATTCCTCAGGTGTTGGCCACGGCCTTGACGACGGCGAGGACGTCTTGAAGTGGTGGGTTATGTGGAGGTTCGTACAGTCGGAGCGCTCATCTTCGTCACGGCACGGTTGCCCTTCCCGCAGTCTGTCCGCGTCGAACGACCCTCAGGAACGCGGGCTTTATCATCTCCGTGAGCTCTGCACATACCGGTGAGCGGATATATGTGCGACAGGGCCACCTCGGAGCTTCAGGCTGACGCGCTCGGGACAGCGGGATTTACAATGAACGTCCGGATGGCAGTCGCGCAGCCGTTGCGCCGGGTCGGAGCAGCATTCGTCGCGGCGGTCGGTCGCCTGGACAAGTCCCTCTCGCCCAGTGATACTCTCAACCGCCTCCGGCAACACAAGTGGACGTTTTCGGACTCCATCTACTTGTTCCACATCGCTCTCGCCTCGTTTTGGATCACCATCATGCAGGTCCCCGGCTTCCCCCTCAAGCTGTTCATACCCATACTCTACGCCATCGCGCTCCTCATACCCTTCACCTCGCAGTTCTTCGTACCTGCCGGCCCCATTTTCCTCTACCTCCTGAGCTTCTACTCGTCAAAGTTCATTCCGAAAGAATACCGGCCTACCCCGTCAGTCGTGCTCCTGCCCACGCTCGAGTCTGTACTGTACGGCGCAAACGTCTCGGACATCCTCACGCGCTTCACGCATCCAATTCTGGACGTTCTTGCATGGGTCCCGTATGGCGTCGGTCACTACATCATCCCCTTCATTGTCGCCGCGTTCGTCTGGCTCTTCCGTCCGAAAGAAGCGCTGCACTTCTGGGCCCGCGCATTCGGCTACATGAACTTGACGGGCGTACTCATTCAAATCATCTTCCCCTGCGCGGCTCCCTGGTATGAGCTGATCTACGGCCTCACTCCGGCAGACTATTCGATACGCGGCTCACCTGGCGGTCTGGCACGCATCGATAAGCTGTTCCACGGCAGCGGCTACACAGCGGCGTTCTCCAACTCCCCCCTTGTCTTCGGCGCGTTCCCCTCTCTCCATGCGGCATCAGCAACAATGGAAGCGCTCTTCATCTCCCACTTCTTCCCGCAGACGACGAAGTGGGTGTTCGGCTACACAGCGGTGCTCTACTGGGCCACGATGTACCTCACGCACCACTACCTCGTCGACGTCGTCGGCGGCTCGTGTCTCGCCGTCGCGTTCTTCTATCTCCTCATGCCAGAGGAGCTAAAGGGCGCGGCCGCGACCGCGCCGCCCGGCGGGCTCAACGCGGCGTCGTACCGGAGCAAGTACGAAATTTACGACCTCGAGGAGCCCCGCGGGCGCGGGCGCGGCACGCGGGCGAACGGCGCGATCATGCGCGATGCGGAGGCGTACCACCTCGAGGAGCTCTCGGACCGCGAGTCGGACGAGGAGCGGGACATCACGTTCCGCTCGCCGGTCGTGCCCGAGCAGCCGCAGTCCGCGGCGCCGCTCATCAAGTCGAACGGGCGCGCGTCGCCGGTGAAGAAGAGCCATCGGCATACGGCGAGCATCGCGAGCCTCATCCGGTCCGAGGAGAGGGGCGAGGAGGGGTGGAGTCCTATTGGCGGCTCGTTCGCTTTCCCGCCGACGCCGACTAGGGCGCAGGCGGAGGAGGGCAAACCGGCTCGGCCCTCATAGGGTCTTCAGTGTCCTGGGCGGGATACGTGGTGCGAAAAGGTGTACATTCATTTGGTTAATACATTTTTTAGTTCAATGTAACGGGTTCCTCATGTATGTATCGGCTTGTCGCATTGAACTTGGCAACTAGTAGAAGGGCAGCCCCGGGGACGCTGTTGCCGTTCTACATGGTTGGATAGCTTGACCCTCCGCCAGTCAATTCAAAGTCGTTACTAGGCACCGAATACATATGTCGTACTGATCGTATAAAATCAAGCATCGGTAAGTTGTCTTTCACTGTCACCGTACCGTAGCTCTGAGCACCCACTGGGTACCTAGCAAGAGTGTTTGTAAGTCAACCATCGAATTGTGGTCAGTGGTGATGGATGGACTCCCCGGCAGCGCCCCGCCGGTCTTTGTCCCCTTCCACTGGATTCCACATGGGCGCGTACTCGCCGTATTCCGAATTGATCTGAGTCACATACAGAGTCAAGAACATGTCACGCGTGTAGAAAGTCCTTCGATGCTCTCCCCCACCCCTCTCGAGACCAGCAAACATGAAGTTGTCTGCCGCATTCGCCATCCTGATCGACCTGCGGCTAGCCGTGCAGGCTGCTCTTTTCCCGACAGCGAAGGCGATTACAAGCTCGCCTTTCCTCCTCTTCCGCCCCCATGAGGTCTCCCGCATCTTCATGTCCCACGTCTGGAAGACGTTCGGAGAGGGCGTCAACGAGAGCGGGCGTGCGGTGAAGGACTCGCTGATCCCTCGAAATGCGTACGGCGTCGTCCTCGACATCGGTGCCGGTAAGTCTTGCCTCAAGAATTGCTGTCCCTACTCCCCTTTGTAGAACACCAGCGCTGACCCAGCGGACCCTCCTGCGCAGGCCACGGCCACACGCTGCTGTACCTCGACCGGCAGAAGGTCACGAAATACGTCGCGCTCGAGCCGAACCAGCTCATGCACGCCGAGATCCGCGCGCTCGCCGAGGCGAAGGGCTACAGCGAGGCGGCCGGCTCGCTCCTCCTCCTCCCGTACGGCGCGGAGGAGATTGGGCTGATCGTGTCCGCGCTCGGCGGCGCGCGCACCGTCGACACTCTCATCTCCGTCCTCACCATCTGCTCGATCCCGGACCCCGAGCGCGCGCTCGACACGCTCGTCCGCGAGACACTGAAGCCTGGAGGCACGTTCCTGATGTACGAGCACGTCCTTAGCCCCCGCCCGGACGTCGCATGGTGGCAGCGGTTCTGGACGCCGGTGTGGGAGAAGGCGTTCGACGGGTGCCGCCTCGACCGGCCGACACATTTGTGGGTAGAGAGGATGGACGTGTGGGCGGAGAAAGCGATGTGGACGAAGGATGGGGAGGAAGAGGAACATCTGTTCTGGCACCAAATCGGTCGTTTTGTTAAAAAGTCCGAATAACCCCCTCGTTCATCTATAACTGCAGTGGCTCGCTTTGAGTCTCCTGGTTCAAGCGCCACCACAGGTAGAACTGACCCCAACTCAACTGAGACCATGAAACCCTTCGTTAACAACCGGTCGTTATGCTACTAAGCAAATCCTCTATCCGCTTGCCAACCAGCGCTCAAGAGCAACATCGTACAAAAAAGCTACAGCAAGTGGGGATACAGGAAAAGGACAAAACAAATGCTCGGAGTGAGGATCGAACTCACGACCTCAGGATTTCCCACCAACCGGTGGTCATACCGTAGTATGAGACCTGCGCTCTAACCAGCTGAGCCATCCAAGCTTGCGCATGGTGCATGCATCAGATTTCGTCACGGGTCAGACTACCGCACAAGACACTTGTTCTCGACTACGTACCGTCAATGCATCCCCAGAATACCGTTTACCTTCGTAGCACAGATCACAGCATGAATCGTGCGCAAGGGAGGTATGTGCGAGGTTCGTGAAGTTATCTACCTCATCGATAGCACAGGTGGAAGTCTGTACGCACACAACGCTGGTCCACAGCTGTGCTGCCTGCAGTCGTTTCTGAAGCGAGCTTGGGAATGGCGACAAGCACGATGAAAGAGAGCATTGAGCGTTATGCAAGCATCTCCCTACTATCTGGGTATCTCACTAGTTATTTCGTTGAACATCCCTGAGCGGTCTGGAGGTCCGAGGGCGACTCAGAGTTGGCAACTTCATGGCCTTCTGAGCCCGGCATTCGTGGGTAATGCTACCGGTCCCAAGACCCGGTGAGTGGAGACTCGGCGTAGAATCTGACGCCATACAGTCTCCTGGGAGGGCACTGGCCAGGCCGAGTCTCCACTCCCCCGTTCTCCAATCGTCAGCGGGATATATGGCATCGACCGACCGAGTGCCCGTTCTGGCGCACCCCTTTCTCGCGTCCCGCGCACCGTTCGAGAGGAACACCGAAAGACGTGCGTGTTTCCCCACTTTCAAGTGCGTGTTCACTGAGCTACACTCGCTCAGGGGCCGCTCAGCTGTTTGAGTTGACGTCATAGGGTGACCCACGCACGCACGAACGCATACATATAGCGCGCCGATGCTTGCACGCGCACGAGGACGTCTTCTTCCTCCACTACCACCTCCTCGACCGCACAGACGTCGATACAGTATGTTGGACAACACATTTCTGAGTGATACACTCGACAAAGTGTATCCCATCCCCTCTCACGCCCCGTCCGCCCAGGCGCCCAGGCGCTTCCCTGGTGTCACGCCGGACTCTACTGCAGCGGTGCTAAAGACGTTGAAGGATAACCACCAGAGGTGGCATATCTTTTTCAACGAGAAGGGGTTCCACAAGTGAGCATGAGCACGAACCTGCTGGGTTGCCCTAATGTCGTTGGGTGGTCAGCCACATCTCGCATCACCTCCTCGCCATTTACCATCTTGGCGCCACCGGCGCAACGATCGAAGCAGCGTACAAAGTGCACTCGTCGACCCAGCGTCCTGCTTACAAGTCTCCGGCTCCTATCACTCGTGACAATTTCCATGAACACTTGGGCGACGAGAAGTTGGTCATTGCTAACTCCGTGCCCCACTTCACTCACTATGCTAATCGACCTATCTGTAGCTACTACAATGCGTACCTCCAGTTTTTCACTGAGGTACTGCTGGAGAAGGGCGCGGCGGCCACGATCGAAGAGTGGGTATTCTCACCCAAAGCCAACATCGAGCACCCGAAGCCAGGCGAGCCTCCCTTGCAGATGGCGAACCGCTTCCTCGCTGGCTTGCTGCACCCTTTGATCCACACGGGCTATGGTTGCGAGTTCGGTCTCCTCGGACAACTTGCCGAGGGTACGTGTGCGGAGGCTCGCATCCAGGGCACCCAGTTGACAAGTCCGCCCAGGACTCGCAGAGACTGCTGTGCACAAACCGCTTGCACCCGCGCTGACGCCGCCTACCCTGTTGCAGTATGTGGGTGCCGCGGCGTCAGACGCTGCGAACGCGACGGTGTTCGGCATCACCTCGCTCCTGCCGTCGCTCGTGCTCAACCAGTTCCGCCGCACCGCACAGCCTGCCGCTGCCACACCTACGAAGAGCGTGCACGCCTTGACGCTCATAGCGCGCCTCACGCACGACTACAGTTACTCGTACAAGTCGATCGGGCTCCCGCCGCCCGTGAACAGTGAGGAGGACACGTCGCTTGAGCGTGTGCTGCACCTGCGCGGTGACGAGCTTGCCGAGATCGCGAAGGAGTGGACTGTCGACGGCACCAACCGCACCGAGGTCGAGCGCAAGATTGAGGAGCTCTTCTGGACGAACGTCGTCCTCTTCGGCATCGGCGGTTGGGGCGACCGCGATAAGTCCCAGACGGGCAAGTTCAACGGCGATTTCTTCTTGTGAGTAACCCATCCGCCCCCACAGCAGCGCACGACTGATAGCCGCCGCAGCCTGCACCTCGTCACCTCCGTCCTCTTCCTCCCCTCGATCTCCGCGTACCTCTCGCCCACCTCGACCTCGATCCTCCTGCGCACGTACCTCCTCAACACACTCGCGCTCTACGTCGCGCGCGGGCGGCCCGCTCTGCCCGTCGCCGCCTTCTTCGACAACGTCTCGCCGGCGCCAGCGCCGCCCACCGCCTCGCTCCCGCAGCCCGCGCCCGCGGATGGGACGCTCACGCCAGAGGACCGCACGCCGAGCGCGTGGCTCGCGCTCGCGCAGAGCACGCTCGAGCACCCGGACGACCACCTCTGCAAGCTCCAGCGCGCACTTGCGCACTTCGACGCGCTGTACGGCGCCACGCCTGCGGGACATCTGAAGAAGCTGGGTGTGGAGCTGGACGGCGTGGAGCGGATCGACGGCTCGCTGTTCGTGCGCGTCGCGGGGCTTGCGCAGGACAGGCTGGGGTGGATGCGGGAGGGCGAGGAGAAGGGCGCGTGGGACTTTGATGGGTTCTTCCACGATCAGTAGGTTTGTGTCCTGGATGGGTGTACAATTCTGTACTTGTACTGTGTAGGAGACGATCTGTGAGGACCGTGCGGGAAACGTGAGGCAGGTGGTAGCCCGGCCCATGGGACCTGGTCCATCGGGCAAGTACAAGAAACTTGCGACCCGCTGGCCCCGATTTGTTCTGGCCAATGTGAAGAATATGGTATGATGTCCGGCCGAAACAACGCTTCTAAGTAAGTTTTCCGGGTCCTGACTATGCATGATGGATGTCGACAAGCTAGGAGGAGAAAGAAGAGGATTTGGCTGACATTTCGCTTGACTAAAAGGCAAAAATTCCGACACGGGGAATCGAACCCCGGGCTATCGCGTGAGAGGCGATAATGTTAGCCACTACACCATATCGGATGAAAAAAATCAGCTAGTTGTAGATAATAGAGAACGACCGCCCGCGCCGCATGACCCCGTGGTGTCGCAGAGTCTGCTAATCTAACTGAACCACCACTGAAAACGTCATAAATACAGAGAAATTCACAGCGGCCAAAGGTAGTAGGGAGGGGGTGAATCCAATAAGGAAACAATTGTACCGTGACTGCCAAAAATGGCACGAAGTGCAGGATGTGACATGCTAGCCGCTGCAGTCGTGGGCGTCCGCCGCTTACGCGCGCTCGGGCAGCACGTTGGGCGTTGTCGTCCTCTTTCACCCACCTCTCAGGCACCAGACACTCGGCCCCTTGACCATCTCGCCTCCTTCGACCTTCCTGACCTTTGGACGGACCACTTACGAAGACAGAACACGACATGAACGGGATCACAAAGGCCAGCTACTTCCGCCTGATGGCATTCCCAGTCGAGATCCAGGATTGCATCCTGCAAGAACTCGAGGTGCACGAGCTGCCCATCGTGCTACGGGTCAACAGCCACTTCCACTCGATTTCGAACCGCATTCTGTACCGTATAATCCCCGAACTTCCCATGCGACGATGCGTCGCATGCCTCAAGGTGCTCTGCGCGAACCCGACGAACGCGGCGTTCGTGCGAAAGCTCAGCGTCGACTGGTCCAGCCACCGCGTCGTGGCCAACCTCTTCCGTCTCCTGCGGGACACTCTCCTGCGGCTGCCCGCCCTCCGGCACCTGTCCATCGAGCTGTCCCCGCAGGACAACCACTACTCGCTCGCGTGGGTGCTGCACGGGTGTCGCGCGCGCCTGCGCACGCTCGGGACGTCGATCCGGTGCGACCCGCAGCTGGCGGAGGTGCTGGAGACGCAGCCGGAGCTCGTCGAGCTCTGCCTGCGCGGGTTCCAGACGAAGCAGCCGTTCGTGCTCTCGGACGGCGCGATGCCGCTCCTGCGCATGTTCCGCGCCGTGCACGCCGGCCCGTCCGTGATCTCGAGCGTCGTGCGCGGCCGCCCGCTCGAGGGCATCTCGCTTTCGATGTTCATCGAGGACGCCTTCCTGCCGCTCGACGCGCTCCTGCTCTCGAGCCGGCCGATCAAGCGGCTGACGATCATGTCGCTCGACAACACGCCCCCGAACGTCCTCCTGCCCGAGATTGCAGACCGCTTGCCGGACCTCGAGGCGCTGCACGTCGTCGTTCTCATGGCCATGTTTGACCGGGTGAGTGCTTCTCTATGACTCAGCTGTGCTCGCAGCGATTAGGCCTCTGCAAGACTAGCCCAGAGGAATCGCCTTTTCCGCTGGGCCAGAGAGTCACCTCCCAATACAGCGGGAGGCCGTTTGAGCACGTGGCGACGACGCACGAGCCGTGGCGCCGTGAGGCGTCTACGCTGACATCACGTGCGCTTCCCATCCCGCCTTGCCCGGGTCGCGGTGTTACTGCCCATGTGACGAGTCAGAGCGTGACTGACGTGCTTGTTGTTTGTGCTGTGTGCAGAGGACACTGCAAGAGTCTGGGCCGACGCTCGCCCGCTTCTCCGACCTGCGCTACCTCACGTTCATGGCCGCCGGGTCGGCCTCGATCGAGGACGAGGGCGACATCGCGCGCACCTGGGGCCGGGCGTGCCCCACCCTCCGCACCATCATCCTCCCCAAGGGCAAGGTCTGGTTCGAGCGCGACGGCAAGTGGTCGTGCTGCGGGTAGTCGCCCCCGGGGGTTTCCTTCTGCCGCAGTGGGGAAGGCGACATGGGAGTCGCCGGTTAGGCGCCATGGAATGCGCTCATGACGGGCGTCTGGGGGGGCGGGGGAGGGAGAAGGAGAAGGCTAGAGATGGTACGTGTCTTGTATGATCTGTACGCCCGGGTAGACCGTGAACGACGGCACCCGGGGCCGGACGGTGGTTTCCGTCGTGTAGGTTCGTAGGACGCCTGGCACGCAGCGGCGGGGATGGATGTATGGTACGGGTGTTCACGTCGTTTCTCTCTTCAGGGCTC